TGGTGGTGGGGGTGGTGCTGTGTGTGTGTGTGTGTGTGTGTGTGTGTGTGTGTTTGAGCAGAGAGATCTCATAACAATGGGGAGAAACAGAGTTTTTTTTTTTTCTTTTAATTTTGTCTTGGTGGATTTGAACTATATATAAAGGTTTCCTTTAGGAAAGTGTGGATATGACAGAGACATTCCATAGAAAGAGTCTTTGGAGTGGAAATTGTCCAAGACAGGGAGTCTACAAAGACCCAGAGACAAGGTCTCTGCCTCCATCCTTAAATAGGGAATCCCTTATACCTCAGTTTCCTTATCTGTAAAGCCACCATTCTGAATAAATTGTGTACAATATGTTAAATAGAATGGTACTGCAAGGTGCATCCGCCCTCCCCAGCTTGAAATTCAGTCACCTTGTGACGGAGTAAGAGTCGATGAGCATGGATATGAACCAAAAGGGAACATTTGAGGACACTGTGTCCTTATCCAGTTGTGATAAGGAGACTGCATCCTCAGGCCTGGACTCTAGGCCACCCAAATCATAGCCTAATCAATGACATCATAACCGACCAATGATACAACAGTAGGAGCAGAGTGGCTTGATGCCTAGAAAGGGCACCCCAAAGCAAGCTCTGGTCCCTGTGTCTCTGCCTTCGACCATGAAGGGCAGCCTGAGCAGTGAGAGCCTTGACAGGCTGAACACTTCATGACAGCTGGATTTTTCCAGACACCCACCTCCCTCTGTCCTTATTCCAACTTACTGAATAGTTCCTGGCAGCACTCAGTCTTCCCACATACACTTTCCTTCAGAAGAGAAAATGTGTTGAGCACATGCTACGAACATTCCTGGCACCTAATTCCTCGTATGTGTTCAGTGTTGGTAATTCTGGTCAATATATGTGTCCCCAGTGAGTTTGGTTGACTTGACGTAATCCTTATGACGCTGAACACTACAGTTCATTGGCTATCTTCTTTCCTTTTTTAAAAAAAATCTTTATTGGAGCATAATTGCTTTACATTGTTGCGTTACTTTCTGCTGTACTCAAAGTGAATCAGCTATATGTATACATATATCCGCATATCCCCTCCATCTTGAGCCTCCCTCCCACCCTCCCTATCCCACCCGTCTAGGTCATCACAAAGCATAGAGCTGATTTCCCTGTGCTAGACAGTAGCTTCCCACTAGCCATCCATTTTACATTTGGCAGTGTGTATATGTCAATGCCACTCTCTCACTTCGTCCCAGCTTCCCCCTGACCCCGTGTCCTCAAGTCCGTTTTCTACGTCTACGTCTTTATTCCTGCCCTGCCGCTAGGTTCATCAGTACCGTTTTTTTGTTTTGTTTTGTTTTGTTTTTTTCCCCATTGGCTACTTCTTATACCCTAGATTCTGGAGCAGATACTTTAGAAGCACTGTATCATTTATTCCTGACTATAAGTCTGCAGTAGGTATTATTGCTCCCATTTCATGGATGGGAAAACCAAGATTCAAGGGAGTTAATGTGAGTTGTCCAAGGTGACACAATTGAATCAACTTTAGATACATGTGCAAAAGCTGGGTTTTGGCACCTGAAAACATGGGTGGTAGTGGCCCCACTATCCTGTCTGTCATAGATCCTTGTTCTTCTCTTCATTCTGGACCTGGGTTCATCTCTGTTGTATCCCTGTTGATACTTGACAGCTGAGCCCAGGTTTTGTGGGTATTTCCTGACTCTATCTCCCTTCTCACTTCCTTTTACCTATCTGATGACTCCCCCAGTCCTTTTCAGCATCAATAAATCTGAGAGTCACAAAGGTCCAAACAGCTGCACAACTCCCATAGCACCCCTTGGCCTCTTGGTAGCTATTAAAATGGCCATAAATAAAACTGCTATTGAAACATTCATTCATACAATAAGTACTTGTGGAAAACTGAGAAAGGGACGGGGGATAAAAGAAGGAACGCTCCCCCCACCCCCACCCCTCAAAAAGTTTACAACCTAAATGGCGATAATGAGATTAAGAATGGGAGCTGAATGACGTTGTTTAAAACAATGCTGAAACAGAGCACGAGGCCAAGTAGGATTAAGTCAAATGATACACTCATCCCCCCCATGCCCCCACCCCCCGGCTGAGAGAGGATGGAACCTGGATACTCTTCTTAAAAGACAGAATTAGGGCAAGTGAAAGAGAGGCAGTTCTAAAGGTAGATTGAGGCACTTTACAGAGGACTGAATGGGGTTCTAGGAATGATCTGCACATAAACAGCTTAGAGGGGTATTCAAGGGCCCACAGTGGGGCCTCATCTCATCCAGTTCATGGCTTTAAGTCATGTCCATGTGCTAAAGATTCCCAGATTTATATTCCAACCCAGAGCTCTCCTCCGAGGTCAGATATCTGAGTTCCTACCTAAAATTCCTGTTAATTTCTTGCTGCCCAATTCTTGATACTCCTCCCCCAAAACCAAACCTGGTCCTCCCCTATACTTAAGCATCTTAGTTAAAAAAAATAATAAATAGCACCAATATCCAACCAGTTGCTAGAGGGACAGAAATCTAGAAGTCGTTACTGATGCCTCTTTTTCCTTTACCTCGCACACGCAATGCATCATCAAAACCTGTTGCTTTTGTCTCCAAGACACTTCTCATTCTTGGTTACTCTCTCCAGCTCTACTGCCATCACCCTTCTCTGAGATCCTTCTTCTCTAGACTGTATCGCTTACCTCCTTGCCTCCAGTTTGCCCTTCCCTAGAATCCAGTCTCCACTGTGGCGGGCCAACTTTAAGATGGTCCTCAATGATTCCCACCCCCTAGTATTCACACCCTTGTGTAATCCCTCCCCCATGAGCGTGAGTCTAGTGACTTACTTCTAACCAATAGAATATGGCAAATAGGCTGAGATGGCACTTTAATGATTAGATTATAAAAGGTTTTGACTTCTATCTTGCTAGCTGAATCTGTCCCTTGTTGGCTTCGATAAAGCAAGCTGCCATGTTGGAGAAGCCCATGTGACAAGCAACTGAGGTCCTCTGTTCAGTAGCCCACAGAAGCTGAATCTCGCCATCATCATGTTAGCTTGAAAGTGGATCTGTCCTCAGTCCAACCTTCAGATGAGACCCCAGCCCTGGATGACACATTGATTGCAGCCTGAAGCTAAGCTGTGCCTGGACTCCTGACCCACAGAAACTGTGAAATGAGAAGCATGTGTTGTTTTAAACAGCTGAATTTGTGACAATTTGTTATGTAGCAATAGATAACTAATACAGAAAGAGTAATCTTTAAAAAAAAAATTATGCTGTGGTCACTCTCCTGCTTAAAACCCTGCCTTCATTCCCCATTTATTATAGAATAATATCCAAATTCTACGCCAATGCTTACAAGACCCTGGTGAGCCAATCCCTTCTAGTCCTTCCAGCCTCACTCATGCCTCTGGCTTCCCTCTTACTAAGCTCAGGTTACTGAGTCAGGTCACAAGGGCCTTCTTTCAGTTCCTTAAACATGCCAAGTCACTTCTAAGAGAGTTCTTCCCTGACCACCCACATCTTTAAGTATATCCTTCCCCTCAGTTATTCTTTTTGAATGCCCTGTGCCTTTTATAGCACCAACTGTAAATTGTAATGGTTTTCTTTACCTTTTTAGTTGTTCTTTGTCTTTTTTTCACTGGACTGTGAGATCGTAAGGGTAGAGACAGTTTCTGTCTTATATACCATATCCCTACAGAGAGCAAGAGCTCAATAACTACTTACTGAATGAAAGATGAATAACTCTGCCATTCTGGAGCACACCTGTACTCTTAGCTCGATCTTTTTATTACCTTGTCAACACTCCCCCGCCCCAGCCTATCTCCATCCATGTAGCCTTCACCCATTTCCTAATAGCCACATCTATTCATCAAGATCCAGTTTCAGTACTCTAGTTTGCATCTGTTTTTCCCAGATCTCTTGCCCCATTCCCTGCCCTCTCACTTCAGAACTTTCATAACATCTTAGCTCTTAACATCTCCTGAGATGCTGGGCACCTGCCAGCTTGTATTACAGCTATTTGTGTAGAGTTGGATGGTTCCAAACATTTCTCCATTTACCTCATTCTAGAGATAGAGGCCTGGAAAGAAGCACAGATGTGCAGGAAAAGTCTTAGGAGAAATAAGAGCTACTGCAGATTAGCATCAGAGCTAATAGGCTACCTAGGAAAAATCTGGAGGGGTGGGAGCAGGGTCTAACACCTCCCCTGGAGAGAAGCAGACTTTCCATTTCCCCACTATATTAGTCTGCTAGGGCTGCCATAACAAACTACCACAGACTGGAGGGCTTAAACAACAGAGATGTATTTTCTCACAGTTCTGGAAGCTGGAAGTCCAAGATCAAGTTTCTGGCTGATTTGATTTCTGGTGAAAGTTCTCTAATTCATCTACCTCAAAAACTTCACTGATCAAAGCGTTCAGAGATTCCCCGGTGAAGCCCTTAAACCTCATCCAGGGAAACAGTGAAGGCCAGAGCTTGTTAGGCATTGGGGTGGCGATGTTATAGAAAACTCTGCTAGTGTGAGAGTTTGTCACTCTTTAACACCAATGGAGAGAAAGATTCCCTCCAAAGGAGTAACAGCTTAACA